CATTCTCAAGGAATGAAGAACGCTGAATGAGGGTTTTTGCTTTCAAACAAAGCCACAACAATAATCTCTCAAAGATAGATACACAATGGTGAAGCTCAGAATTTTTCTGTAAATCCTCTCACAGAAGTATATGCATAAGGCTAAAAGCTCACTATAATTTCTAAAGGAAAATGAAAACCAGATTCAGAAAATTAAAGAGATGATATTGATTAAATATGGAAAATATTTTCTAGCTTGTGTTGTTACTGAGTATCTCTCTATGTTGGTATGTATTTTTTTATTTTTTTATTTATTGTTTTGCTGCATATTTAGAGCTTTGTATATAACAAAGATAATGCTCTGTTATGTTCTGACAGTGCCCATTCTCTTCTTCCTATTGAAGAGATGGGATAGTGATGGGTTGAGATGATATATAATTGATTGCTCAGATATTCTCTGATATCCAGGTATGTTTTACCTGTTGAAATGATGAAGAAATAATTAATTTCAGTTAACTGCTTTGCTACCGATATAAGCATCTTTCACAGAGGGATATCTGCCTGGATGTCCAAAGCCAAGCTTTGTTCCCGAGGGACGTTCATCCAGATGTCTGCCCGGACATCTGCCCAAATGTCCGGTTGTGTTCGATCGTCAAGGATGACTATCGCGGTGGTCAAGCATATTGTTGGTCCGACAGTCGGACTGAAGCAAAATTGAACTGGAGTTGAACTGGGTGGAAATTACTCCATAGGACATCCGCTCAGATGTCCTTTTAATTGAAGGAGAAAATAAACAAAAAATGGCCTGACCGGTCGTCCACCCTTGTGTTGTCTCAGCCTCTTATGCTCTGCTGTTGCTCTGGTACACTAGTTTGGTACACTTTTATGCCTCATTTTGAACTCCAAATTGCATGATTAGGATAGAGACATAGATGAAATTATGATGGCATAAAATATAAGATTTCGATCTATTTTGCTCTTCCAAATAAATCAAAAAGCAGAATCAAAACAAAATAAGAAACAATCATCAAAATTCAATATGTCTAACAACCTATGTAATGTTCATGAAAAACATTCTTGGAAGCTTTGTCTCTTCAAATGTTGAAATATAGTGCTAGTAGAAGGAAAATACTGAAATTCTGTAAGATTAAAAAGCTAAAGAGTTTGAGTTTGGCATATTTTTGGTTCATGGGGAGTTATATGAGCAATAAAAGAAAAATCCTCATGATTTGACATTGATACAAATCTAGCATGTTACTAATGAAGTCACATGTTGAGAATCTAATTTCAGTATTTAAGTTAGAACTATGGTAGAATAGCTATCACGAAAATTTCATTTTACATAATACAAATAGTGTATACTATTTATTTACATATTGAGAATCTCATCTGAAAGTTTGAGTCAAAACTAGGTCAGAACGACTACCATTAAGATTCAGTTTCATGCAAAGTTATTGATAAATAGTAAAATCTGAAATTGTTGTGGCAAGTCACAGGTGAAAATTGAAATCACATGTTCAAAATCCAATTTCACAATGATCTTGCATGTTCAAAATGAGATTTAAACTAGCATAAGAAATGCCATTTAAATAAAAATTACACATACATATATATTTTTTCTTACATTTTTGTAATTCTTTTATAGATAAATTAAATGATAAAAGAAAAACCCTCACGATTTGACATTGATAAGAATCTTGCATGTTACCAACGAAGTCACATGTTGAGAATCTTATTTCAATGTTCAAGTCAGAACCAAGGTAGAATGTCTATCATGAAAATTTCATTTCATGTAATACAAATAGTGTGTACTATTTGTTCACATGTTGAAAATCTAATTTGAAGGTTTGAGTCAGAATTATGTCAGAGTGACTACCACAAATATTCAGTTTCATGCAAAACTATTGATATATAGTGTAATTTGAAATTGTTATAGTAAGTCATGGGTGAGAATTGAAATCGTATGTTCAAAAACCTAATATGTTCAAAAATGAGATTTATACTAACATAAAAAAATTTCATATAAATAAAAATTACATAAATATAATTTTTTTTTACATTTTTTTATTTATTTTATAGAGAATTTAAATAATAAAGTAAAAACTCTCCCTATTTCACATGGCTAAGAATCTTACATGTTACCAATAAAGTCACACGTTGAGAATCTGATTTCAGTGTTTAAGTTAGAATTATGGTAGAATGGCTATCACAAAAATTTCATTTTACGTAATACAAATAGTGTGTACTATTTGTTCACATGTTGAGAATTTAATTTGAAGGTTTGAGTCAAAATTAAGTCAAAGTGACTACCATAAAGATTCAATTTCACGCAAAACTATTGATAAATAGTGTAATTTGAAATTGTTGTGGTAAGTCACAGGTGAGAATTAAAATTGTATGTTCAAAATCCAATTTCACAATGATCTTGCATGTTCAAAATGAGATTTAAATTAACATAAAAAATTTCATATAAATAAAAATTACACACACACATGTATTTACATTTTTGTAGTTATTTTATAGAGAAATTAACTAATAAAATAAAAACCCTCATGATTTGACATTGATAAGAATTCAATCTTACTAATGAAGTCACATGTTGGGAAATATGAATTCAGAGTTTTAGGCATAACTAGGTCAAATCAATATAATGAAGATTCAATTTCACACAAAACTATTGCAAACACTGTACTTTGTAATCATTGAAGCAAATCACAGGTAACAATTGAAAAGCAGCAAGTTAGCTTTCCAAACAGTGTATTTTAAAGTCGCTAGAGTAAACCTCGCGGATATCATGAAATTACATGTTGAAATGCAACTTCACTTGAAATTGCATGTTGAAAATGCAATTTCAAATGAAGTTGCATTTTTAACAAGCGATTTCAATTTGCTAAGATAGCAATCCATGCTAGGGGTATAAATCTGGCCCGGCCCATGTTGAGCCTCGCCGGCTACCACTAAAATTCAAGCGGGGCCAGGCTAGCTTATGGGCCAAAAAATTAAGGCCAAGCCCAAAGGTATTTGGGCCTTGGGCAGGTGGTGGGTCTGGCCTCGGGCCGGCCCAATGGGCTTGGACCGACCTGACCATATTTTTTTGTTTTTTTAAATATTTTTTACCAAAATTTTATTATTCTCCATTAAAAAATACACTGGGCATCGGGCGGGTAGGGCTTCGGGCCGGGCCTAAGTTGGCCTTAAACAGCCCGATGGGCTGGGCCACGGGCCGAGCTTCAAAACAATGGCCTAGGCCCTGGCCCAGGAGCTCAAGCCTGGGACTAAGCGGGCCTAAACGGGTCGGGCTCATCCCAGGCCGCAGGCGGGCTTCGGACCGCTCATGTGCCGCTGGCCATTTTCACACTCCTAGTCCATGCCATCATAAAATTGCATTTAAAAATGTGATTTCAAGCTGAAATTGCATATTGAAAATGCAATTTCAATTTAAAATTATATTTTCAACATGCGATTTCAAAAAACGGGTTAGTTTTCCAAATAGTTTAAAAAGAGGATCAATTCTCTAAATTATTATTTTTTTAGAACATTAAAAGAAACACTCACCAAACATGGTCATAATGTAGAAAAAACATAAATATTAATCCTTTATTTTATTTTAAATTATCCAAAAGTATTAGTATATTTTTAAAAAATAAGAATTAAAATAACATGAATTTTCTATTTTGTCCTTCTTTTACGTTTTGTTTGTTTGGACAGAAAATATTTCTTAATTAAAAGTATTTTCTACGAAAACCATTTTTCTATGTTTGGTGGTGGTAGAATGAAGGAGGTAGAGGTAGATGTACTGGTATGGTGGTTTGCCGACAATGCATCTGCGACAAATCCAGCGACCAAAGTTTTTGGTCGGCAAATATTTTCGGCGACTAAAATCTGGGCTTTTGGCGACAAAAACATTAGTCGCCAAAAGTGTATTTTTTTGTAGTGAACGGTGACTGCGATGATGGTGGTGTGATGGTAAAGGTGAGAGTGGTAGTCGTCGTGGTGGTGGTAGTGGTGGTGGTGGTGTGGTGACATTAGTAAAAATTTAATCTAGAAAACACTTTCCACTTTTTAAACCAAATCAAACCAAACTAAACTAAGTCAAGCCTTAAGTCTCATCGAATAAAGTCGGCTATATGAATTCTTCTTCTCCATTCGACTCTATCTAAGGCCATTTCATTAGTCAAATTAAGGAGATTCAAGCCTAGGTAAAGGAGGAGGGTCGTGTGTTAGGTACCTGATAGTCAACACGTACAGAAGCCGCTCGAATCCATCATAACTTTTTAATTTTTAAAAGAAAAAAAATATTTTTGTCCAAATATACTTATTTTCTATTGATCATGAAAATTATTTTTCGTTGACTTTCATTTTTTATTGTGCTAAATACTAAAAAATACAAAAAAAAAAAATTACTAAAACAAACCGAATGTTAAATTTATTAAAATTAATATTTTTAAAACGTAATAATTATATTCTAAAAAATATTAATGCTACAGGTTATTTTAGTAATTTTTTAATTTTTTGGTTAAAATATGATGTAAAATAAATTAGTATGTTTGGAATGATTTTTAATTTTTTATGAAAAGATATGCAAAAAATAGAAGCAAAAATGAAATTTTTGACTTTTTAATATAAATTTTCATTTTTAAAAAAAAAAATTAATAATTTATTGACTTTTAAACGAAAGCAGTGAGTTGTGAAGGAGGCCTTACTATGAGGATTCATCGGAAATATTGTTATTCATCAATCTTACTTCAAAGAGAAAAGTTAGGGATCATGAAATTTTTTTTATGAAAATGATCAAGAAAAATTTATGATTCTTGAATTACCTTGATTAGTGTGTGGTACTTTATTCTAAATGTAATTCAAAGGCCACAAAACTTTGATAATTATTTTCATAAAAGATTTTTCATGATACCTAATATTGCTGTAATTCAAATTCATCAGACATGTCGCTGTCCATTTATATTCCACTAACATATTTTATTGTTAAAAAAAACTTCAATTATTCACATTGGCAAGAAACCCAGTAATTTTTGTCACTATAAAGTCAAAGCCTAAGACAAAGTTTTCCACATCAGGCCATTGCCAAGAGAAAACCCTCCTCTCCTTTCCAAGGTAAGTTTTCTTTTCCTTCTATTTTAATTTTTTGATCACCTAAAACAAAGCAAATTATATATATATATATATATATATGTATGTATATATATTCATGGATCTTTGGGGGCTACCATTGCGCTTTGCTTCTAAAGGCCTTACACATCTATATGATTTTTTAAAAACGAGATTATTGCTTTGCTTCTTGTAGTGATCAATATGATATGAGGACTTGTTTCTAAACTCTCTCTTTCACAATATATACAATTATTGACACTCACCTAATCATATTAATCTTTAAATAATAAAATTTTTATGCAGAATGATGTGTTATTTCATTTTAAGTTAAAATAATTATTATTTTGGCTCATTAGTTGAAAAATATCATTATTACATCATTTTGCTTCTCATTGAGCCAAAAAAAAAAATGATAAGAAGACTCATATTGGGAACTTCTCTTCATTTCTATTCATGCTTTACAGGTTTTTAATAACTTTCATTTGTTAAATTTGACTGTGACTTCTAAGGTAATCCTGTTTTTGTGTGATTAAACAAAGAAGCTACAGTGATGGACATCTTGCCCACTGATTGGCTACATGATCTGGTAAGTTTTTCACTTATGAAAGTTATAACAATATAGGACAATACCCATTGCAGAAATAAATAATTACAAACAAAATGCATGAATATTTTAAGTTTTGTAAAAATGTATGACCATTTCAAGTTCTAGTTAACAAAAACTCATTCTTTTATTGGTAAGAACTTTTGATATTTGCGAAAATTTATTGAATTTCATAGGAAATGGAAGAATCCAACCTCATCCGTCAATGCCAAGTGGATTCGGTTGATTACTCACTTGATGAGATCAATTTTACGTGTTTCTCCCCAGAAGTCTATGCATCTCTCAGTAATGAGAGCACACACACTGAAATTAATATCTCAAAATTGGGCAAAGAGCTCAAGACCAACAACGACAACTCTCACGACAATGGAAATGCTATTTTGTTGGGGCAATCAAGTTCACCATCGACCAACTCATTGCAGAATGAAAACCCTAATGAAGATGACGCAATGTCTCAGGATTATATAAATTTCTCATCATTCAGTTCTCGGAGTTCACAAGAGAACCTAAATGAGAGACCAAAAAGTTGCAATAGAACCAAAAAATTGTGTGCCACAAGTAGGGCACCAGTGCAAGCTCGAAACCACATTTTGGCAGAGAGAAAGCGTCGAGAAAGGCTCAACCAAAAGCTCATTTCTCTCTCAACCCTCATTCCTGGCCTAAAGAAGGTATTGTAAATATTTGGGGTGTTTGGCAAAATATTTTTTTGTTATTTTTGGGTTAAAATAGTACTAAGGGTTGGTTTGGGATGTTCTTAAAAAGTGTACTTTTTTATTTATTCGCTTATATGAGTTGGGTTTGGGTTGGGTTTGATGTGATGTGTTAGAAAGGAGATGTGATTTAAATAAGATGGTGTGACTTAAATAAGATAGTGACTTTTTGACTTTTTGTATTATTTAGGCCTCGTTTGGGAATAGGCTAATTTAGTAACTTTTTAACTATTTGGCTAAAAAGGTAGGTAAAAAAAAACTTGTATGTTTGAGATGACTTTTTGGCTAATTACGAAAAGATGTGTAAAAAGTAGAGAGAAAAGAGAATCTTTAACTTTTTTGTATGAGTTGTTGACTTTTTGGCTAATTGGCTAAAAAAGTAAGTCTCCAAACGGGGCCTTAGTTTATGTCAAACCAATCATAAACGACAAAATAAGCTAAAATAGTCAATAAGACAAAATATTACGTTAAACTCATAATCATTTCATATTTTTTTCTCATAAAGACTACATCTAACTATAAAAAAATCAAATCCTTTTTTCAAACACAACTATTTTAACCTATTAAAATAGCCATTTTTCCAAACACCCGATGAATTTGATATGATATTTTATCTTAATGAATTGCTTCTTTTCTTTTCTTTTTTGATTTGTCAATGACTAATTTTTCCTGCTACTAAAATTTAAAATATATATATATATATATATATATATATATCATGAATGTCTATTTCACTTTCAATGAGTCCTTAAACAAAAAATAAATAAAAATCAAAAACACAATAGGATGTAATTTTTCTAGTAGTAAACATAGTCAAGAAATTATTATAATTCTATTTATCCATATGGTTTTGGGATTTGATCATGTTTGATTTTTGTATTCCAAGACCTATTGTTTTGCTATTATAGTGCAAATTCTAACACAACTATGCTATAGAGTGTGAAAAGTTATTTGTAAATTGTCTGAAAGCAAAGTATGTGAATTAGATTTATTTTATTTGTTGAGGAGTCTAAACAAGTTGTATGAAAAATAGTCAAAAAAATGAAATAGTGGTGTACATTTAAATTTAAAGTGATGTGAGCTACAATCATGATGTATCTAATCCCAATACTTCATTTTCTAATAACTTTAGGAATAATATTTTCATACTCTATAAAATTGTTGTCGGTTTTGATATATTCAAACTTCATGATCAAAAACAAAAAAGGGAGGAGGGGATAAAAATAGAACCAAAGATTTTTTTAATTTAAAAGTAAACCTTTTATGTCCTTTTGTTACGCATTGTTGTTCATTTATGTGTAGATGGACAAAGCTTCCATCTTACAAGATGCTATCAAGTACATAAAACATCTTCAAGAACATGTGCAAACCTTAGAGAAACGGGCAAAGAAAAAATTGGTGGAACCTACTATACATTCAATGACGAAATGTGGACCTTCGTGGGAAGATGACAATGTTTCATCGAATGAGAATTTGGATGAAAACTTCAAGAAATTGTCTCCTGAGATTGAAGTAAGAATTTTAGAGAAAAATGTTCTCTTTAGAATCCACTGCAAGAAAAATGGTGACGTAGTAGCAAAAATATTAAGCAAAATGTCAGCGCTTCATCTGGATGTTGTTAGCAGTAGTGTTCTTCCATTTGGCGTGGCTCTCGAGATAACTATTGTTGCTCAGGTACTTTTACTTCGTATAAGCATGGCATTTTTTTTTTTAGAAAATTGTTATATATCATTGAAATATTTTACATGAATTATTTCTTATGCATTTTTTATTTAGGACAAACAATGTTTTACATGAATCACTTAACTTGATACAATTTTCCTCTCATGCAAAGCAAAATTTTATTTAGTAGTTGGAAAGGTTTACTATCTCTTTTTTTTTTTTTTTTTAGTAAATTTTTTCCGATAAAAAAATATCTTTATTCATCTGTTACAATTCGTCTTCATTTTGTGTAGGTGGATGAAGAATTTCACATGACTGTGGAGGATCTTGTGAAAAACTTAAGATCGGTTGTTCTAAGTTTCCTGTGATATCTCACTTAATCAAGTTTACTTTGTGTGTTTAATATTGTAATGTTTTTGCTTTCATAAAATCTATTTTAGACATAAATAAAACAATAATGACCCGGACCTCCTTTTTTCCCACTCCTTTGATCCCCTCGCAACATGATTGGCCATTTTTTTTTTCTTCTCCTCCAATCACCATCCGCCATGTGTGTGTGGGGTGGTGGGGTTGGTGATTGAAGGGGTCTCAATCATTACCCTAAATAAAATGTAAAAGTTTTATAAAAAAGGGACAATAGTGGCTTTTGTCTCTTTTTTTTTTTTTTTTTTAATAAAATTTTACATATTTTTCTGTGTATGTCACATTATTTATTTTGTCTTCTGTTAAAGTGTGAAAAATTAATAAAAATTTATTGTTTGAATCCATGTTGGTTCCTTTTCGGACCCCCCACCTACTCAATTACCTTTCCACTCGTGCCTTTGTATTTTTTTCCATTATTGTAAACAATACTCTTTTATCCTAATTTTCATTTGAATTAAAAAAAAATTACTTGTTTGGTTTTCATATTTTTAATATTTTAAGTAATTTTTTTTATAGATGCACATAGCTCAGAGGTACCTAAAAAGTAAACTACTTATAAAAAATATTTTAAAATATCAATAAATACACAATAATACAAAAATGTATTAAATTTTCATAATATATATATAGATATATACTTTTTTATATTTTTGGTATTTAGTGAATTTAAAAAAAAAATTATTACAAATATTATACTTTTTATTATCTAAAAAATTTATTTGGTGAATAGGTTTACTTTTTAGATACACTTAATTTTAAAACAGTTCACTAAAAATGAAAAAACTAATTTACAAAAAATTGAATTTAGAAAATTAGAATCTAACAAGGTGAATGGAATTTTAGCATCTGTGTGCTCCAAGGCCTTGTTTGTTTGGCGAATTAGGTTTTATAAGATTATGAGTATAGTAGGATTGAGTGAGAAGATTATTAGTATTAGATTGGAGATGTAAGATAAAGGAGTTGTTTGAGAAGAGGGTTAGGTTAAAATAGCCTAGACAAAATAGATTAAAATAACAAATAAAATAAAAAATCACATGTAACATATAATCATTTAATTTTCTCTCACAATTATCAAATCAACTATTAAAAAAAATACTTTCCAAATATAACTATTTTAGTCAAACTAAAATGCTAAAAAATCAAATAATCAACTTCCCAAATAAGGCCAAAGTGTGTTTGTTTATCTACTAGTGTGGTGGTATTAATTGGTTAGGATTAAATTTATAAAATTACCTAAAAATCCTCAATATATAAAAAAATTAATTTGTTATTTTTGTAAAATGAGGGTATTGATTCATTATAACTCTCAATACCATGTGATTGGATTGTAAATCCCACCTTCATATGGGATTACTAATCCCATCTTTTGGCAGGTATTAACAATCTCCTAAGATCATGTTTGTTTAGTTGAGTGGATTAGACTAATTCTAAGAGAGGGTTACATGAAGAGTAATTGGTTGTGGAATGTTATGATGAGAAAGCTCCAAGGCACTAGCAATCCCCCTTCTTGGTCAGACTATCATGGAATTAAAATATATGAGATTAGAAATCTAGTGATAAGGTTATTGGATTAAAATATTAAATAAAATATATTAAATATTTTTAATATTATTTTTTTCAAATAATTTATTTCAGAAATAAATATTTAAATTTTTTAATAAGTACTAAAAAAATATGATTTGTTTTTATTTTTATATTTAGTGAATTTTTAATTAATTTTTATGTAAAATTTATATTTTTTAAGGGTCTCTAGATTAAGTGGACTTATAAAATATAAAAAATAATTATAATTACAATATTAAAAATACTAAAATTTTTAAAATATTAATTTTATATATTCATACTATATGTAATATTACTAATCCGGTAATATATAATAATAAAAAAAAACTCTTTATCCTATGTTTACAATCTAATACAACTATACTAATAATCTCCTCACTCAATTTTACTATACTCTAAATCCTCTCAATTCTATAGAAACTAGGGATGGCAATTGATAACCTACCCTATGGGTATCCATGGAGACCCAACCCAAATACATGGGTTTTCTCCTATTTTTCTTATCCATTGGGTAGGGTAAGTAATATTCTTTAAATATCCATAGGGTATGGGTTGGGGATGGGTACCCACTAATTTCCCCAAATGTTTTTTTTTTATTTTTTTTTTTAAGATTCACAACCAAAACTAAATGTACATTTAATCTTTTTTCTTTTATTTATTTATTTATTTTTTCAGGTTCACAACCATTTTTACAACTGAAAATTATTAAAATTTTTACATTTCACATAACATATTTTCTTCAAAAATAACAAAGGGATCACATTGAAACGTAAATAGAAGTGTGAGTTTACATTGATGAAATTGAGACTACGAGAATCGAAAAAAAGATGGACCAAAGGTATAATTTACCAGATAAGGCTTGTCTCTAGTTTGTATTATAAATTAGACCATGAAATCATTGACTATGATTTTCAAATTAAACAAAAAAAAATTCATTGATAATTTACCAGATCATAAAAAGTGGATTCTACAGTGGACCTAGACCGGCAATACGGCCCTAGACCACGATTGGATTGGGGATGGGTAAACCCAATTATATATATATATATATATATCAATATTTTATTTGAGTAGCAGCAGCTTGTAACTTTTCTTTCTTCTTCTTTTTTATTTTTATTTTTATAAACAATTTTTAACGTTGGATAACATCCCAAATATAGCTATTAGTTTATTGGATAACAATTTTTATTTGTTATTAGTATAGTGATCCTATTTAAGAAAAAAGATTGAAGGTATATCTAGTTTTTGTTGTGAATCTTAAAAAAAAAAGAAAAAAAGTTTTTTTTTTTTTTTGGGTGGATAAAAAGAAAAAAAGTTGTTAACATTAAATATATTAAAAAAGAAAGAAAAAGGATTGAAGGAATATTTAGTTTTTGTTGTGAACCTTAAAAAAAAAAAAAAAAAAAGGTTGTTAACATTAAATATATTAAAAAAGAAAGAAAAAAGATTGAAGGTATATTTAGCTTTTGTTGTGAACCTTAAAAAAAATTTGTTAATATTAAATATATTTAAAAAGAAAGGAAAAAGATTGAAGATATATTTAGCTTTTATTGTGAAGCTTAAAAAAAAAAAAGTGATTGTTAACATTAAATATAAAAAAATAAAAATAAAATAAAAATGGAGATTAAAGTGGGTTGGGAAAAATCCAAACCCATTAGGAAATGGGGAGGATGGTACCTATGGGGAATGGGGAATGGAGAAAATTTATTATAGGGAAATGGGGATGGGAAATTAATATCCACCCCCATTAACCCCCATTGCCATCCCTAATAGAAACAAACAAACGAAACCTAAGTTTGTTAGTCACAAAACTTTTGTTATAACTAAATAAAATTTATATAAAACCTACATCACTTTTAATCCAATCCTACTTGGATAACAAACATAGCCTTTGTTTAGAACGTGGATTAATTTTTTAATTATTTTAATTTATGGTTAAAAAATTTCGTTTAGAATAAATTTTTTGACTTTTTAAACTTTTATAAAAGAAAAAAATTAAATGATTATATTTTAAATATAATATTTTATTTTATTAATTTTTTATTCTATCCTATCATTTTATGACTTAAAAAAAATAATAATAAAAAAAAATAAAAAAATAAAAAATTCATGCGAAACATAGTTCATAGTCTACGAGTCTGTTACCCCACTAACCAGCAAAGCCATAAAGATTGTTTCAGAGTATGACGTCATAGTTTGCAAAGGCACAGCCGATGAACGATCATTTGGATTTTAGTGAGTTGGTACATAGGAACATTTATTATGAAAATTACAAATTAGTTCAAACAACAAAGATAATTACGGACAAAAATAATTATCCCAAATAATTTGCTAAAAGCCAAAAAAAATTAAATATATATATATACTATTTGTCCATCGTCCAAATTTTTGAAAACATAATAAAAATCTTATTTTGATGTCCAGCAAAACGTCTCAAATACCCCATTTAATTTAATTTTAGAATTAAAATTTAAATATAGAGTTATATTTTAAAAGATTATTTTTTAAAATGAATTTTTTGAAAAGAAAAAATTTATTTAATTATGAGTTTTAAAAAAGTTTTGTGTTGTATTTTAAAATTATTTTGGGTTTATTTTTTTAGTATTTAAAAATTTTCTTGATTTTATTTTTTTAGGATAAATATTTTCTATTGTAAGTATTTATTTATTTTTTTAATGCGCATTACATTTACTGCATTGGTGTGATGTATATTTTTTAAATATTTTAAAATTTAAAAAAAATTATTTATTTATTTTAAATATATAAATTTTATTTTAAGTATTTTCCTTTATTTTTTAAATATTTTCAATATTTTTTAAAAAATTTAATTTTTATATTTTGAAATATTTAATTTTTTTTAAAATTTTAAAAATTTTTGGATCGTCCATATATATATATATATATATATATATCTAAATCATAACAAATTATTTGGTCTATAAACCAAACCAAACCAAGCCTTAAGTCTCATCAAATAAGGTCGGCTACATGAGGTGGGCGCAAGCTGGCCAGGATACCCTGAGTTATCAAAAAAAAACATGAATCCTTCTTCTCCACGCAGCCCTATCAAAGGACATTTCATTAGTCAAATTAAGTAGATTCATATCTCTATTTACAACGCTAACCAACATTAATCTAGGCCTACCCCGTCCCCTAACACTTCCATCTACCGTTACAGTATTGTATCTCTTCACTACTGCCTTTGTTGGTCTCCGTTGAATATGACCAAACCATCTCAATCGGTTCTTTCTCAACTTATCTTCTATTAGTGCTACCCCTACCCATCATCGAATATACACATTCTTAATTTTGTCTTGTTTAGTCTTGCCACACATCCACCTTAGCATTCTCATCTCAGCCACACTCATCTTATCTACATGTTGTTTCTTGGTTACCCAACACTCCGTTCTATACAACATTGCTGGTCTAATAGCCATTCTATAGAACTTAATTTAAGTCTAGTGGGTATTCGTTTATCGCA